GACCATCTGTCTTCCGCGCAGGAGAGGCAAGCGCGGGGCCCCCACGTAGAAATCGGCATTGTTACGCATGCCTCGTGCTGGAGCAAACAAAATCGCGCGCGCGCGACACCCGCGGCGCGCAACCCGTCTTCCAGAGGACCCACCCCGCGCATAGGTCGCTCCAGGGGGCGATTGAGAGGGGGGGGGGGGGGGCGCGCTGTCGATCTGCGGAGGCCCGCGGGCAGTGCGCGGGCGGATTTCTTCGCCTGGGTCGGGCCCCAGCGCGTCGCAGTGGCTGACGTCCCGGCGGCTGCCCTTCAGGCCGCGATCGCAGATGGCCGATGTCCTGCCAGTTCCTCTCGCGCGCGGCGCAGATCATCAGCGCGAAGGCCGAGCAACCGAGTCCCGACTTTGCCCGCGGGGGCCAGCGAAGCTTCGGGCCCCCTAGACCGCCTGCCCATGTCCGCGTTGCGCGCGACGCAGTGCCCCTGGCCCCCAGGGCCGCGGGCGCGCAATGCAAGCGCTCGCAGTTCGGCCGTCGCCAGGGCCCCTGCCAGCTGTGAGGCGCTGCTGACACCAGGGGCCAAGTGCGAAGTTAGCTCGACCGACGGGGGGGGGGGCGCTCTTGCCGCCGCCGCTGCCACGGGCGCGGGAGCGAGCGCGGGGGGCGGGGGGGGAGGGGCATCTTCGAATGCGATGGCCATCGCCCCCGCCGAGCTGAAAAGCGCAAGACGCGGCGCGGTCGCTGGGCGATGGTGCGGCACTCGTACCCTGGAGCACCATGCCAGGTGATCGCTGGCCGCGGTCGAGGTGCCGGAGTAGGCAGAGAACCGCGCGCGACGAGGCCCACGTTGAACAAACATCTCATACGCAGACCCCATTCCATTAGAAACATCACCGATACATGTGATATCGGTCATTATCCTCGTCTTTGTTCAATCGACGTTCCGTTGGCGGGGATTGCGCCGCGGTCGTCGGCGGGCCGCCTTCAACGTGAAATTCCGCTGCGTCGAAAAGACATGCCTCGCGATGCCGCGCCGATGCTGCTCGCGGGCTTGCTCGTTCGAATGCGCGCGATGAATATTTCCGCGTCCGAGGATGCTGCCAATCACCGAAGAAAGCACCTGCGAGCGCATCAGGTGTTCCAGGGCAGGTATTCGCAGCATGGCACCGCAATGCCACTAGTGCCCCGCCTCTAGATGACCTCGCCGAGCCGATGCCAAATCTGCAACGAGACCACGGTATACATGTCGCCTTGGGGATGGCAAACGGTGCGGGGGATAAATTGATCGCGACATCCTTCGGCACCTCAATATTCCGAAGCAGCCTCTCATCTGCCTTGCGCCGATGGAAAATATGAACTGCCCGAGAAATGGCAGTCCTATTTTGCTGGGAAATCTTCGCGAGCGGCCTTGAATGTGTTGCGATTGAGATGCACGCGGGATTTGCCCTTTCACAGCCAACAGCCCTCTTCGCGTACTTCCTCGTGTCGCTGCCCTCTGTCTTCCTCGCTGTCGGCGCGGGCGGGCCCTCAAGTTGCCCCGCGGAGCTGGGGATCGCAACGACTTGGGGACGCAACTGCGCTTGCCGCGGTTGGGGCATATCAAACTTCGAAGCCGCTGCAACAATATCAGATAACAAACTGGTCGTCGCCCTGGGCATGAGCAATTGTAGTCTGCCTTCGATGCCCAATCGGGGTCTTGAGACACAACAGGAACAGCCGTCGGCACTCCTTCAGCCGCGGTAGAACTGCGCGGCCGTTCCTTGACTTGCGGCAGACCGTCTGGTCGGACATGATGGCGCCGAGTTTGCGCGTGGGGTTATTTGGCGCGGCCGTGAACATCTCTGCTTGCGTTCAAACGCTGCTGAGACTGATGCTAGCCTTCCGTGGCACGTGATCGGCAGTGCCCAGCGTGATACCAATGGCTGCTGTAATGGTTGCCGTGAAAAACGCCGCTGGGGTCTCGAAATACTTAGGGGCCGCTGGCGGGTCAGCGTCGCCGCATGCGTGGAGCCAGCGCCTGAAGAGCGCCGTTGAGTTGCTAAGCTAGTAAATCCAATCGCGCTTCGTAATCTTTAGATCCGCCAGCGTACTGTGCCTGAGCGGAGGCGCGCCCGGTCGCGCATCTCGCGGCCCCCGCCGGCAATTTGGAAGGACTGTTTCCTTCGCTGATTTGGTCCCGATGTCCACGCCTGTCGAGCCCGCAGCGGCTTCGACTGCGCGGACTCGCTTGGCTTCTGAGCCTCGCCCTCTAGAAACCTGGGGAAGAGGTGGGGGCTCGTCGATCCCTGGGGAAGACTGACCCTGAGATCCCGTGCTTGTTGTTGCCGTCGTCGCAGTCGAGCTAGATTCCGCCCTTCCTGGGAGATGCATCCGAAATGCTGCCGTCCTCCCGAACCGAAAACATCTGGCTCCTCCTCGAACGTGCCTACGAAACCGTACTGATCCTCCTCCTCGAGCCATCGAGGTCCCTGGTCGGCAAGGTCACACTGTCGTTGAACGTACTCTTGTATGTTGGCTCCTCTGCTTTTCTTTTCAAGGAACCGTAATCCCTCTGCTGCGCGGTGTTGAGATCTAGGGGCATGCTCTGGACGTCCTGTGTAATTTCTGATTCTGGCATTGTATGTTGCAGTCGATTCCTCGTCACTATCGTGTCGTCTGGCACTTTGGACTGATCGAAGATCAGTTTGTTCGTTATGCTGTCGTGCTTGTTTGCAACAGCCGTCCCGTGTTCGATGGTTTCCCTAGTTTTGTGACTTCGGGTTTTGTATGTTTGGAAGGTTTCTTCTCCTTGGGATTGACCGGCTGTCTGCATGCAGCTCCACAAATTCCAAGCGAGCGAACGTGAATACTTCTTTTTGGATGATAGCCGTCAGCCCCTTGCGGAAGTACCCCAAGTCGGCGACGTATACTTGACGTGCCCAAGCCCACGCCGCCCACCTACATGCCGACGTGACCTTGGACCTCTGCGCATTCTGGACCGCGCCTGCCGAGGGCGCCGTAGTGTGGCGGCACTGCCCTGGCCCGTAATCGACGCCCCAACCAGCGCGTCGAAGCCGAACATCTGTCCTGCAGGAGCAGCACCGTCGCCTGCCACCAGGAAGAAACCTTCGTTGTCTACGATCATCTCGTCCTGATCGTCCAGCTGTGGCGGTTGTGGATATGGGTCAGCACCGATACCGGGCACTACCTCCGAGATCTTGGCGTCAAGAACACCATCGCCACACACGAGCCTTGTAAACTTGGCGAGGTCCGTAGATTGATCGATGTCTTTCTGAGAGTACTTGTTATAGAGCCACTGTTGTGCTGAAGCATGGGGTTCGCATCCGTATGAGACATGGAGAACAGTTTGTTTTGACTTGTTGTTTGTAATACGGACAATTTGAAGAATCGGTGTAATCCGTGATACCAAATGTATCGGGGGTCATCAACCCAGCAAACCAAAGAAGTCTACAAACCGATCTTCGTTGGAAGGACAATCGGTTGGATATTAAGGCCGCTTTTCCTGGAGCGTCTTGGGATTGAAGAGTTGTATTTCTTACGGCTCTGGCGAAAACCATTGACTTTTGCCTCGTAGTCGATGCCGTCTGCAGCTCCTACGTACTCCGACCTGGGATGTTTGTCCCGACATGCGAGCGCTTACAAGCCTGTCCCCCATGCCTGTTTACGTAGGTCGGTTCGTATGACATTTCGGAATAACGAATCATCCTAATGAAGAACATTATGCTTGCCTCCTGGCGGCCTCTGGATGATCAGCTAACTGTCGATTTTTCGTCTGCGTTCATGAAAGACCAGCTCGAAAACCTTCAGCTCGGACCGTGCATGTCGTCTCTATAAGGTGGTTCCTTGCCGCACTCGGCAAGAATATCCCTGAATAGTGTGAGGAGCGGCCTCCGCTTCTGGAAAAGCCGCGTCAATACAATCATTGCCCTATATCTTGCTGCCTAAGGTCGGGACCCTCGGAACCCCTCGGTCCCAAACGGCCGCCCAACCTTGCCAGGAGCCGCGCGCGTGAGTGGTTGGTCGAAGGCAGGCACTCAGCAACTGGTGAGGCTGCCTGGCAAACTGGTTTCGCTTTCCGCTGCGGGCAACCTGAGCTGAGGTTTGCCGTGGGTTCTGTTTTCGGGCGGCTCCCTGCTGTATGACTCGTTCGTTCGCTCCTGCTCCCTTTATTCCTCCCTCCATCTCTCATGTTAATTTTCTTTTTCTTCTCCTCGTCATCCTTCCGTTCCTCTTCTTTCTGCTCCTCTCCCCAATCGATTGGAACCTCAGAGGACCGCCGGAATCTGAAAGCCTTCCGAGAACTCTGAAAGCAGATCGGGACCTGTCCGAAAGCCTTCAAACAGCTCCGAGTCCATCCTTGTCCTTCCCCCCCTCCTCCTCGTTCTCCTCCTTCCTCCTCCTCCTCCTCATCATCATCATCCTCCTCATCCTCATCATCCTCATCCTCATCCTCATCAGCATCAGCATCAGCATCAGCATCAGCATCAGCATCAGCATTAGCATCATCATCAACATCATCCTCATCCTCATCCTCATCCTCATCATCATCATCATCATCAGCAGCAGCATCATCATCAATCATCATCAGCATCATCATCATCACCACCATTATCATCATCATCAGCATCATCCTCATCCTCATCCTCATCCTCATCCTCATCCTCATCCTCATCCTCATCATCCTCATCCTCATCCTCATCCTCATCATCATCATCACCCTCATCCTCATCCTCATCCTCATCCTCATCCTCATCCTCATCCTCATCCTCATCCTCATCCTCATCCTCATCCTCATCCTCATCCTCATCATCATCATCATCATCATCATCATCATCATCATCATCATCATCAACATCAACATCAACATCATCAATCATCATCATCACCCTCATCCTCAGCCTCATCCTCATCCTTATCCTCATCCTCATCATCATCGTCCCTCCTCCTCCCTCCTCCTCCTCCCTCCCTCCTCCCTCCCTTCCTCCCTCCCCCCTCTCGTGTAGGTGGCTAGCCGCGCCTCGCCAGCCGCCGACTTTGCCGTACCCTGCGCCGTCTTCAGCGCGCTGGACGCTACATTCTTCACGTCGCCCGCGACGTACTCCACGACCTCCATGACCTGGCTCGCCGACGCAACCGTGTCCTTGGGCGGGCCCTCCTCCCCTCAGCCCCTCTCGCCGTGACAGAAATAACAGAAACAAAAACTATGTTAGGCCATTTTTGGCCTCCAGGGGGCCGTGCCAGGCCGGGGGACTTTCAACATCGACTCGGGAATCTCCGTGGGCCCTCCCTTCCGACTTCTCGCGCGGCGTCCGGTTGCAGGACCTCGGAGGCCAGAGAGCAGGCACCGCTGAGCGCCGCGGGGTTCCTCGCCGCAGCTCTGCCGCCGCACCGCTGCGCCGCGGCTCGCGACGCCGCTGCCGTCGTCGTCGTCGCCGCCGTCGCCGTCGCCGTCGCCGTCGTCGTCGTCGTCGTCGTCGTCGTCGTCGTCGCCGTCGCCGTCGTCGTCGCCGTCGCCGTCGTCGTCGCCGACGTCGTCGTCGTCGCCGTCGCCGTCGTCGTCGCCGACGTCGTCGTCGTCGCTCCTGCAGCTTTCGGGTTATAGCTTGGGCCTCGGGCGGACGCTCGGGGCGACCAGGGCACATCCGGGAGAGCTCTCGGCGAGGCGCAGCCGCTGGGAGGCACCCCGAGGCGACAGGCACACCTCGAGGAGAGCCGACGACACCTCCCTCGTGGGCGCCGCCGCCGAGGCCGCCGGTCGGACCTCGGCGCCCTGGTACAGCGGGCGTCCTCGTACAGCTCGTGCATGCCCACGCCGCGCAGCACGTCCTCCAGCTCTGGGACGCCGCTGATGTCGCCCGGCGACGCGGCTCCGGGCTCGCCCGGCGGGTCGGCCTGGTGGGCGCGACCAAGCCCACAGGTCACGGCCACCGCCGCCGCCGTCACCGAGATCGCCGCCGTCGCCGCCGTCGTCGCCGTCGCCGCCGACGCCGCCGTCGTCGTCGCCACCGTCGTCGCTGCCGCGGCCGTCGTCAACTCAGTCGGCGATGCCGTCGCGGTCGTCATTGTCGTCACCGCCGCCGTCGCCGTCGTCGCCGTCGTTGGGAGGAACAGGAGCACGAGGAGGAGCAGGATGAGCAGGAGGATCAGGAGGATGCAAGCAAGGACGAAGGCATGGGAGGTCGCGCCGGGCGGATTGTCCAACTGCTCAGTGCTACACGTCCACGGCGTGCGCCAGACGCCCTTGCACTCAAGGCGGCACCCTCAGGCCCTCCCCCCACTTCGGGCCTCCAACCACGAACTCCGAGGATCCTTGGGAACCCCCCTTGTGCGCTCGTTTCTCTGAACCGCCTCCCCGTGGTAACATCACGCTCCGCGACGTCGCCTTTCGGGACTGGCTTGTGGCAAGGCTTGTGGAGCCTGAATTCCCAGATTGCGCCGGCGCAAACCGTGACCCCCTCCCCCATGGCAACGCCCGCTGTCTGACTACCAACCAAACCAAAGACCAAAATTTCGGGTTGGGGGGGGGGCACGAGCTCCGCATCTGTTTTTGCAATGTTCCCCGAAGCCCCCCCCCGCCCACCGGGACTGGAGGGCAGATTGGGGCCTACGGGCTGGGTTGGGGTGGTTCGGTGGGAGGTGGCTGCCGCCGTCGCCAGAGGATAGAAGCTCAAGTCCTTTCTTCGCGCGGGTGTTGGCGAGGGTGTCCCTGGCCTCGAGTGCCCCCAGGATTTCCCAGCAGGCCCAGATGGCCTCTAGAGCGCCCCTCGAGTCTTAGGTCGGGCATGTCCTCCTACAGGCGGATTTGGGAAGAAAAATAAAAAATAGGCAAAACATATTCAAACATAGTCCAAACATCATAGAAACATTGTCCCCTGACTATTGTTGTAACTATTATTGAATATTTTCCTGTAGAAGGACAATGTCCGACTTAACACGAGGCCCAGAGGGCCATGACCTTCTGTTGCATCCTCGGGGGACCTTGTCTGTCCCGTCGCGGCCCCATCCGCGTCGAATCCGTGTCGAATCCACGTCGGCCTCGTCGGGTCCGTGTCGAATCCGTGTTCCGTGTCGAATCCGTGTCGAATCCGCGTCGAATCCACGCCACATCCGCGTCGAGTCCGCATCGAGCCCGCGTCGGGCACAAGAAAAGAAACCAATTGTCGGGACAGGCGAGGTCCCCCGAAGATGCAACGTAAATGACCATTTCTGACCACCTACCAGATCACCCCGACCCAACCCGAAGGCCCGAACTTGACCCGAACTTCGGGTTATGTTGTTCCCATCGTACTTAAGGACCACATCTCTGAAATAATTTCGAGCACCCAGAAAAGTGTCGAAAGAGTGTCGAAAGAGTGTCGAAATAGTGTCGACAGAGTGTCTCCCAGGGCCCGACACGTGAAAACCCTCGAGCTTGGGGGTGTCTCCCTGGTGCTCGAAACTCATTCTGGCGATCCAGGCTAGAAGTAGGTTGGAACATCATGACCTTCGGGATGGGTTGGGGTGGTTTGGTGGGTGGCGAATCTCGGGCACCCCCCCCGGGTGCCCCACGGAGGGGGGCCAGGGAGCGGGGGCGGCGCACCGCGCGGTGCCGTACCGCGGCCCGAGGCACGGCCGCCACGAGGCGGGGCCAAGGAGCACACTGAAAGGCCCTGGCCATGAGTTCCACACACACACGCACACACGCACACACGCACACACGCACACACGCACACACGCACACACGCACACACGCACACACACACACACACACACGCGCGCGCACGCCCTTCGTCCTCACTCCCCCAGACGCCTGGTGGCTTTCGGGACGCAACTCGGGCCTCCGGCGGCCGTTCGGGACCATCTGGGCACCTGGAGAGCTCTCGACGAAGCGCAGCTGCCGGAAAGCGCGCCGGGCGAGAAAAAAATCCGTGAATCACCGAACGATTCGGCGTTCCCGAACGGGGTGCTCTCGAGCACGGCCACACGCACTGGGCCCTCACTCCCTTTTGGGCGCCGCCAGCCCCCGAATCGCGGCGACCGTTGGCTATACGTACATCCGTGCCCCGTCGTTTGCCATTGCGTGCAGAGAGCGCCAGGGAAGAGGGGGCGGGGGGAGGGGGCCAGCGCCTGCACAAGAAACCCGCACGGACCCCCGAAAGGTCACGGCCACGCCGTCCTCTCTTCGGGTGTGCCGAACAGGGAGGCCAGGTAGAGGGGGGGTGCGCATCATGGCACGTGCGCGGACGAGTGGGGGCCGAGGGACGCGTTGAAAGCGCAAGAGGGGGCCATCAAAGCTGTGAGATCTCATGGTCCCTGGCTGCTATGTCCACACGCCCCGGGGCCTGGTCCCCAACCCCCTCTTGGAAGCCCCCACCGATTCCTCCTTCGAGGGGTCGCCGCCACGGCCACTTTCGGGCCCTGGCGTTCGGCGTTGCTTCATGGGGAGGTCAATCGACGGGGGGGCGGCCTTTTACATCATATGTTTTTTCTGCGGATGCGCCGTCTAGGGTGTAGGCGCGCCTCTTCTGTCGAATGAGCTGTGGGCGAAGGAAGGTGGCCCCCTCGTGCACTTTCTGGGGCCCCAGGGGGGCCCTTCATGGCTCCTTCCCTACAGCCCCATGTATCGCCCATCGCCCCCCCCCCCCCCCCATGGCGAAACGCCTGGTGGCGACCGCTTGGCCCTCCCCCCCCCCCTCAGGGCCTCGTCGTACGCCGGCTGCCGGGCGGAGGCCTGCAGCCGAGCGGTGGCGGCGGACGCCTCGCCCCGCTCCGCCCCCTCCGCCCCCCCTTCCCCCCACCCTTCCCCAGCCGCGGCGGGAGGTGCAGGGCACAGGCCCTGAGGGGGGGGGGGGAGGGCCCGGAGTCGGGCCTCGCTGCTTGTTGGGCGGCCCAGGTGCAGGCCGCGGGGCAAGACACCAGAGGCGCCTACACCCCCCGAGGTCGACGTCCCCGAGTGGGCGAGCGGCCACCTGACCGGAGGGGAGCCCGCAAACCTACAAACAATCCCTGCCCGGGTACGGTGGCCACGCGTGCCGCCCACGGGCACGCAGACGGCGGCGCAAGGCGGTATACCAAGGATCGGCTCCAGTAGAGAAGCGGGGACGGGGAAGGCAAGCGCTGGTCGGAGATGACTCCAGCGCGGGGGAACTCGGGTCTCTTCGGGAGGAGGGGGAGGAGGAGGAGGAGGAGGAGGAGGAGGAGGAGGAGGAGGAGGAGGAGGAGGAGGAGGATGAGGAGGAGTGAGGAGGAGGAGGAGGATTCCGGCCGAGGGAGGGAAGCCCCCCCCCCCCCCCTGGGCTGGCCGACCCCATGCGCACAGGTCTCCGCCACGACCAGCCGCGCCATCGAGAATCTTGCCGACGCCAGTCAATCGCAGCGTCGAGACCGCTTGATAAGGCGATTCGCCGTTTGTCTTACCCGGCCAGAACAGGCAAGCACATCACAATTCGAGATTGGAGAAGCATAGCTATCACTCTCCACGATGGGCTCCGTGCGCCACACATACGCATAGATGTGGAAAGTATGATGGCAGATGCCATGCTGGCACAGTTGCAGAAGCCCCCCGGTTCTGTTTTGCGACAAGATGCCCCGCCAGACGTGCCAAAGCCTTTCTGGGGACAGTCGTGGCTGCCGAATTGTGACCCGTGCGAGACGAGCGGGCAGTGGCAGCCTGGGCATCAGGAAGTGTGTGATAGCGAGCGCCTGGCTCAAGACACATCTTTGCGAGATGGGCAGACACAGCTGATAAAAAATGGCAGTGGCAGCAGGCAGTGACATGAGCAGTGGCAGCAGCGGGGCAGCAGATGTCAGCGACGTGCGAGAAGCGTGTCAGAAGCGACCAGGAAAGCGACCAGAAACAGAGCGTGCGAGAAGCCAGAACCAGAGCGTGCGAGAAGAGGCGGCAGTAGCAGCGGACATGGACGTGAGCATGGAAGCCCCAACGCCATCAGCATCAGCAACAGACTGGGGCACACCCATGCCAGAAGAGGCAGTGGCAGCGGCTTGTGGTGCGAGTGCAAGGCTCCAGACGTCATCAGCTACAGGCTGGGGCACGCGCCTGCGAGAAGAGACAACGGCCGCGGGCAGTGGCGCTAGGACGGGATTCCAGACGCCATCAGCTACAGGCTGGGGCACCCCCTTCCGAGAAGAGGCGGCAGCGGCAGCGGGAAGCGGCGAGAGGACGGGAGCCCAGGCATTATCGGCTACAGGCTGGGGCGCACAGTTGCGAGAAAAGGCAGTGGCAGTGGGCAGAGGTGCGAGGATGGGAGTCCAGACGCCATCAACTGCAGGGCCGAGAGAAGAGCTGGCGGCCGCGGCAATCTGCGAGCATTCTTCGTCCATGACTTGGAGCTTCGTCGACGGAAGATGGCGGCCACGGCAGCAGGTAGAGGAGCGGAAGGGCGATGACACAAGCCAGAACCAGAGCGCGCGAGAAGCGATTGCAGAACCAGAGCGTGCGCAAAGCGAGAAACACAAGAAACTGTCCAGTACCGCCAGACCACCAGCGGAAGCCTTCCAAGAGGAGCGAGTTGGATGCTCCACGCAATCAGCTACACGCGCGGCGCCGCGCGTGCGCGAGAAGGCGGCGAAGGACGAGCCACGTGACGAGCCGCGAGAAGAGTTACGAGACGAGGCTGGCCCCAGCGCCCTGAAAGGGGATGCGGAGCCTTACGTGCCCTATGGGCAGTACGTCTGGGCCCCCACGCAGGAGCTGGTGAGGAGGGCGTCAGAGGGGCCGAGGCCACGGACCCCCCCAGCCTTTCGTGAGACGGCTGGCCCGCCAGGCCCGCCACGCCGGAGGACCCGTCAGGCTCAGGCACCGAGGAGGGCTCGAGGAGGAGCCCCAGGGCGGTCTCGGGGATGACACCGAGGAGAGCGACGAGAACGAAGGCTGCTACGAGTACGAGAGCCACGAGAACTCCCCCGTCGACGAGGACGACGGCTACTACGAGTACGAAGGCGACGAGTGCGAGAGCGATGCGTACGGCGAGCACGCCAGCGCAGTACGACGAGCTCTACGACTACGAGCTGAGCTGGACGCCGATTCCGACATCGACGATCCTGAGCTGGACGCCGAGGCGGCGACAGCTGAGGATGAGCAGCGAACGCCGATGGGCAGAGGCCCCAGGCGACGCAAGAGGCGGCCGAAGAGCCGAGCAGGCAGCCGCCTCCGCCCGCCCGCGCCGCGGCGCCGCCGAGGGAGCTGCCCGCGGCTGAGCGGGGCGGCCGCGCGGGCGCGCGAGGCCCGCGGGCCCAGGGCTGCGGCCCATGGTTTGCTCCAGGCCGCGCCCCCTCAGCCGCCCATCCCTTCGGCGTCCTGATTCTCTGTGACTCCTGCAGGCTTCTCTCTCCATTGGTGGGCTGAGGGCGCCGAGCAGAGAAGCCGAGCACGCCTCGCCACCGCCCAAACCTGCAGGAAAGTCTGGAGGCTGGTGGCTGGCCATATGGGCGGTGGCGCCGTGGTGCTCCGGCTCGCAGCGCAGTTTCGGTCGGCCTGTGGCCACCCCCTCCTCTTCCTGGCCCTCGAGGCCCCCCCCCCCTTGTCTTCGCGGGCCCTTGGGGTCCCCCGCAGCTCTTCCTTCGCGCCCTCTGAGGCGTCCCTCCCTCCCTCTGGCGGCGGGCCCTGCCTCGGCCCCTCTTGGGCTCTCGGCGCTCGTGGGTGTCTTGGGCTCTGGGTCCCCGCGTCCTCTTCCCTCCAGGTCCGTAGAGCCTTCTCTCTTGTCCCGCGGGGCCCCCTTGGAGCCCTGGCCCGTAGTGGATCTGCGGTCGCGGCGCCGCGCGCGCGGCGACCGCGGTCGCGCGTGGAGGTGCAGGACACCGCGGCGTGCGCCATGGGGAGTGAGTGAGTGAGTGAGTGAGTGAGTGAGTGAGTGAGTGAGTGAGTGAGTGAGTGAGTGAGTGAGTGAGTGAGTGAGTGAGTGAGTGAGTGAGTGAGGAGGACCGCGCGGCGCTACGGGGCTTGACCCCAATGGCGCGGTAAATAGCGGGAAATAGCGGGGGGAGGAGGAGCATGAGCAGAAAAGGAAGAGGAGGAGGAGGAGGAGGCGGAGGAGGGGGAGAGGCGGGGGGGAGGAGGGAAGGGGAGGCGGGGAGGAAGGAGGAGGAGGAAGGATGAGGAGAGAGGTGAATGATGGAGGGAAAGGGAGACAGGGAAGGGGAGGAAGGGGGCGGAAAGGAGGAGTGGCGGGAGAGAAAAAAGGAGGGAGCCATCGCGGCCCCGCATGATTTTTTAGTTTTCGTCGGAAAAAGCACAGCCAGGCCAGGAGTGTCACCGGGCCAGGACTCAAGAAGACCTGGCCCAGGGGCAGCGGCTGACGTGGAACCCAGGACCTTAACCCCGTTGCCCTGGGCTCCTCCTGTATGACAGGGGTGGGGACCCCCTCGGGTACCACCGGGTGAGGGAGCGAAGGGGGGAGGGAGGAGAAAGGACGTGGAGGGGAAGTGGAGGTCCCGAGTCAGCACCCAAAGTTTGGTTGACCAGACCCCCAGTGGAGGCCGGCCCTCGCTATGATCTGCATGTATCAGGGACCTCGTAGGGCACGAGCTCTCTGAAACCAGGAGCCTTCAAGCACCCCCGTGCCATTCCCGAGGTGGGACGAGCCAGGAGGGGAAGGAGGAGGGAGGAGGAGAGGCCTCCAGCGGGGCCCCCAGAGGCGAAGAGCAAAGAACGGCCAAACGCAACTTCAGTGTGTCTTTCTTCCGACGCTTTTCGGCTTCTGATCGCAATGGGAAAACCTCGGAGAGCCCCGAGGAGCCCACCGAGACGGCCCCACGAGAGCCCGGACGGCCCCCAGACCGCCCAAGAACCCAGCTCTCCCCGAAACGCCCCCAGGATGGTTCAACCGAGCCTCTTCCGGAGACTTCGGCGGAACCGTTGCGCCCAAGACAGCCTCAGGGGATGAGAAGGATGAGGAACGAGTAGATAGAGGAGCACGCGGTTGCGGACAAGGAGGAGGAGGAGGAGAACGATGACGAGGAGGAGAATGAGGAGGAGGAGGAGGAGGAGGAGGAGGAGGAGGAGGGGGAGGAGGAGCAGAAGCAGAAGGAGGAGGAGGAGGAGGAGGAGGAGGAGGAGCACGCGGTTGCGGACAAGGAGGCGGCGTCCAAGACCCCCGCTGGCTCAGACAGAGCGCCGAACTGGAGCGGGTCTGAACACCCAGCCTCCATCACGCTGCGCTGCTGCTCTGGCACGCTCGTGGTGGGACTTCTGTCGGTGCTTGCCGCGGCGGGCGCCTAGAGAGAATGCAGCCAGCATGCTACCATGCAGACGATGAGACGTCGGGAACGAGGAAGCTTCCTGGCCCGAAATGGCTCCCCGACCTAGATCTGGGGAACGGTCCCTCCATCAGAGCCCCTTCTGAACACTAAGTGAGCTTCACGGATGGAGGACACGCCGTTTTCATAATACTGCTCTCGCCTCAGCGCAACGCACACTCGTTTGAACGGTTGCAACAGCTTCACGTATAGAGTGCGGAGGGTCAAACATGTGGTTCTGGCGCGAGCACCGCGCGCATTCGGTTCAAGGGTTGTCAACAGCTTCACGGATAGAGGGCGAGTCGTTTTCAAACTGTGGTTCTCGCCGTAGCGCCACGCCCATTCGTTTTAAAAGTTCACTGCAGCTTCAAGGATGGAGGGCGCGCCGTTTTCAGAATACTGCTCTCGCCTCAGCGCCGCGCGCACTCGTCCAAAACGTTTGCAACAGCTTCACGGATGGAGGGCGGGTCGTTTTCAAACTGTGGCTCTCGCGCCGCGCACATTCGTCTAACATTTCACGACAGGTTCAAGGATGGAGGGCGCGCCGATTTCAGAATACGGTTCTCGCCTCAGCGCCGCGCACACTCGTTGGAAACGCTTGCAACAGCTTCATGGATGGATGGCGCGGGGGGCGTTGTGGTTCTTGCCGTGGCGCCGCGCGCATTCGTGTTACAAGTTCGCAACAGCTTCACGGATGGAGTGCGGGTGGTTTTCAAACAGCTGCTCTCTCATTAGCGCCGGGCACATTCGTTCAGACCTTCGCAACTGCTTCACGGATGGAGGGCGGGTGGTTTTCAAAATCTGATGATCGTCTCGGCGCCGCGCACACTCGTCTTAAACGTTTGCACCAACTTCACGGATGGAGGGCGGGTAGGGGGGGATCAACATGCGGTTTTCTCCTTAGCGCCGAGCGCATGCGCCTCAAAAGTTCAACAGCTTTACGGATGGAGGGCGGAGGGGGGTCAAAATGCTGCCCTCTCCTTAGCGCCGCACGCGCTCGTCTGAAACGTTTGTAATTGTTTTACGGATAGAGGGCGGGTGGTTACCAACACGTGATTCTCAACTTAGTGCCGCGCACATTCGTCTAAAAGTTCACAGCGGCTACATGGATGAACGGCGCGCTGTTTTCAAAATGCGACTGACGCCTTCGCCGCCACAACAATTCGCCTTTCAAAGTCTGCAACTACTCAAAAACGGAGGCCGGGTTCTTTCCAGCATGTGGCTCTTGCCGTGGCGCCGCACATTAGCAACAACTTCAATGGTTCGTATGCTTGACGCCGGAGGAATGGTGCTATGGCACGAGTCGGGGTCGTCAGGTCGCAACCGTAATGTTGATTCGCGGTGTCGACGTCCGAGGAATGGTGCTCTGGCACGATTTAGGCTTGTCAGGGCGCAGAATCAAGTTGATTCGCGGCGCTGAATTCCCAGGAAGGGTGGTTCGAACGATAGGTGTTCTCATACCTTTGGTTTCAAATGAGGAACTTGCCACGATGATGAACAATTCTTGTAGAGACTCACGAGGGGGAAACTTGGAGGGAGGGTTCATTGCAACATCGTTGATCCGTTTTGGGTTTGCATTGGTCCTCTGCCTCCTCCTCGTCCTCCCCCTCTTCCTCACTCCTCCTCCTCACTCCTCCTCCTCCTCCTCCTCCTCCTCCTCCTCCTCCTCCTCCTCCTCCTCCTCCTCCTCCTCCTCCTCCTCCTCCTCCTCCTCCTCCCCCACCCCCCACACCGAGCCCCGAGCGGCGGCCACGCGGCCAGCAGCCCCAGCACCGCGCCCACCGCCGCCGCTCTCATCGCGGGGAGACGCCTGGCTGCACCTGCGAGCGAGACGTGGGGCGGGGCGGGGCTGGGAGGGCAGTGCTGCCCCTGTTCGGCATGTCGTGCCCAAACATGCGGCGTCCTGTTTTTTTCAGTGCATGCGACGTCCTGTTTTTTTCAGTGCGGCGTCCCCGGAGATCCCGAGCGCCTTTCCCCAGGACCGGCGGCTCGTCCTGAGAACCTGTGTGACGGTCCCGGGGCCCGGCGGGGGCCCCCGGAGGCCGAAAGCAGCGAACAATCTCCAGTCCTGCTCTTTCACGACGCGGTCATGTCTGGGTATCTGCGAGGCGGTTACTCATCCACGTCCGCGTGGACAGACCCCCCGTCAGCGCGAGGGCGGTCGCCAACGCCTTCGAGCAGTTGGCGGGCCGCGCCGGGCAGGGGCACACGTAAAGGCGCCCAAGGACACACACATGAATACACACAAATCCCAGGATTCCCCATATTTTCACATATGTTCTGGGCTTTCGTCTTCCCCCCCCGCTTTCAATATGTTCCCATACTTTTTTGGGGGGAGTCGCCGACTAGTTAATTGTGTCTGTGTTTTCTTTCCCCTCCTGAACACGGGACAACTAGGGAGGGGGAACGCGGGGGGAGGCCTCGGGCGTAGAGAATCTTCGCCACAAGGAGTGCGCAGGCGGACTCAGACACCGGAAATCAGTGCACTGGAAGGTGAGCGGCCAGTGCGACGCCTTGAGCAGAACGCCCTGCAGTGAGAACGACCCGGGACCAATGCAGCGAAAATGACCCGGGACCAAAGAACAACCACAGAATGACCCGAGACCAGAGCACAACGCCCTGCAATGAGAACGGCCCGAAAATCAGTGTACTGGAAGGTGAGCGGCCAGTGCGACGCCTGTAGCAAAACGCCCTGCAGTGAGAACGACCCGGGACCAGTCCCAGAGAGCGTGGGCCCGCAAGGATTGCGGCCGCGGCACCCTCTGGACAGCCGAAGAACGGCAATTCGCGAATCGACCAGGCAGGGTGGGGGTTTTATCAACCTCCGACGCCTGGGGAACCGATGTCCTGGGACACCAGGGGGCAGTGGCCATGGATGCACTCTGGCCCCAGAGGTGGAGCGAATGTATCCGCACCCACCGCCTACCCAGGAACCAGGAAGACAGCTCCCAAGGCGGTGGGCATGAATCAATCACAGCCTCGGGTTATTGCTGTGCTGCGAGTGCGCCCTGCGCTCTTTCTTGCTCGAATCGGCAGGGGAAACTGCACTTCCGCTCGCTAATGCCGGGGCGCATCTCTAAAAGAACGCCCAGGAAGCAGGCACCGGGCGGGTAGGAGAAGGGCAGGATCAGCCAGCGTCGAATCTGAAAATCGGATCGCATCGGAACGAGCGCCAGATCGGGCTGCATCGGCACGGAATCGGTATCGACTTGGACCGGCCGCATCAAGGTGCGCAACAATCGGATTCAGCTGGCCGGAGTGGACGACATCGAATCGGATGGATCGTACCAGAGTTGGCCCTGTGGCGGTTGCGCTGGGGAGGCCAGCGTTCAGGTGCGCCGACAAGTGCAGACGAGCGGGGGCCAGGGAGCGCATGGAAAGAGGAAGCGGGGACCATGGAATCCGGGAGATTTGTCATGGCCCTGGCCATGAGGCCCACCCCTCCCTGGCCCTTGCGCCCCCCCCCCCCTCGGACGCCCCCGAAGAAAGGTGGTGTTGCGATCCTCCGCCTGCGCGCCCCGCGCTTCCGCGTGCGCTTCTGCGCGCTCGCGCGCTGCAGCTCGCGCGCTGCAGCTCGCGCTCGCCTGCATCGCCTGAGCTTTTCGAGCTTGCGCGCGCGTGCGGGCCCGTCTGTGCGCCCTCTGCGCGCTCCTCCGCCTGTGTGCGGCTTTGCGGCGTGCCTGCGCGCCTCTGCGCGTGCTGCCGCGGGCCCGGGCGCGCTTGTAGCGAGCCGCGCCCAGCCGCGGCGGCGAGGAGTTCCATGAGCAACGCCCCCCCCCCCCCCCCCCCCCCCAAACGCCTCCAGCACGACGACGTCGACCTCGACCCGCGAGCCTCGAGGATCGCGGTGTCGCTCGACCGAGAAGCGAAGCTGTCCTCGAGCCTCGATTGGCGGCGCGTAAAAGGGGGCGGGGGGAGGGGGGAGAGCTTCTTAGAAGGAGGCTGCTTCTTAGAAGGCGCCGGCCTTGCATCTGTAGATAAGGGTGCTTCTGAGAAGCCCTCCCCCATCCCCCGCGCCCCCTCTGCGCGTGGCTGACTCGATCCGCGGCAGCTCAAAACCGGTCCCCAGACCCATCCCGGAGCCCTGACGCACAAGTTCTCCGAGCTGCCACCGGCCGTGGCGGCGAGCCCCCCCCCCGAAGGCCAACGAACCGCTGTCCAGGACGAAGCCAGGGGTCGGGACAGCCTCGGATCGGGATGATGCAGCGGGAAGCTCGGAGATCTGGCAGCTCCGAGGGATGCATCGGCGCCGCGGCCCGAAATCCGGAGCGTTCCTGGACGCTCTGAGAATCGTTCCAGAACGCTCTGGATCTGGCCTCGGAATGCGTTCCAGCAGCTGCGCCTCGCCGTGCACGGTTTCCCCTGGGGCCGCAGGCGACCCGAGGAGGAGGAGGAGGAGGAGGAGGAGGAGGAGGAGGAGGAGGAGGAAGAGGAGGAGGAGGAGGAGGAGGAGGACCAGCGCTTGGACTGAAGAGGGGGGTTCGGCCGTCCTGGGCCACTAGCCGCATCCCCTCTAGGGGGCTTTCTTGGCAGGCGGGGCCGATCACGGAGACGGGCTGTTGGCGCGCATCTCGTGAAATCACCCTAGCATTATGGAACCTCGCTCGGGTTACCCTCCTTGGGGTCGGCGGGGCCATATTTGCAAGTTTTTTCGCAAGCTGAGCCAGGGGAATGGGGGCTCGCAAGATGATTTGTGAATTCGCGGCCCCCTTGGGATGTCTTCCCTCCATGGCGCGCTGCTTCTGTAACCGTCTGCCGTGGTTTGGGGGCTCCCCTGGGCAATCACCAGCAAGGCCTCTAGTGCTCTCTGTAAAGGCGCCACAGGTCCAGCACAAAATTAAACTGAGGGGACTGCATGCGTCTTCATATCCGAAAAAAATTCGGATTGAGACCTCGAGGGTTGCTTGCTAGGTTGCTGTGGGCCTCACAGTAGCCTGGGCATTCCTCTTGGTCTCTCCTAGCCTTGGCTGCGTTGGTAGCACAGCTCTGGCGACAAGCTGCACATATGAAACTTGTCCCCCAGAGGTGCCAGTCATGCCTCCTTCGTTCGAGGGCGGGGTCGAGGGGGGGAGAAGGAGGAGGGATCAGGCCCCACGAGAGGCCAGCCGAGGCCGCCCCATTGGGCGGGTTCAAACAAGAAGTCGGTTTCTCGAACGCTTTGGCACCTATCCTGGGGGCGACTGGGGGCCACAGCTGCAGGGCCTCAGCAACGTAACTTAAATATTTCACTAGTAGTTCATTCTGGGCTTCCTGCAACTGGGTCTCTTGAAGACTTGGTTGCGGAGCTTGGGCGGCGGCTATCTTCGCATGTCTATCGGCAAAGTCATTGCCTTTCGCTCGCCGCCACCCTTCGCTATACATTGGGAGATCATCTATATTCACGTGCGCTTTGATCTTGTTTAAACGGGGACCCAGCGGGGTGGCGCAAGCCCCCCCGAGGACCTTGAAGGCCCCGTAGAAATCCGCACGCGAAAAAAAGAACACTTGCCCCTGTGCACGCCAATGGCTCCTTGGTAATATACATGCATCTGGGCGTGTGGGTGAGCATTGAGGCCAGCAGCAAGCACAGCACAATGCGCAGCAGCGGGGGAGGAGGAGGGGAGATGTTTGCCCACACGCCCCCCTTTATATACGCAAATACATCTCCTAGGTCGCCTATGGCCACTACAGACCATCCAGCAGCGTTGTAATGTCCCCCCCCCTCCCCCCCCCCGGTTTCAGGCAGGCCCCATCGGTGAACATGTCCCCAGCTAAGGCCTCGAAAGGCTGTAAGTTGGGTTCTCGGCACCAAAACTCGGCGCACTCGTATCCAAAACCATCAGGGCCCCCCGTGTCAAAATCTGGTTGGACCTGGTATACGGGCGCTACAGCCTGGCCCTTAACCCTGGAGATTCCGTCTAATTCGTCGGCCGTGAAACATTCTCGCAAAGGGGCACTGAGCGGGCACTGCAGGATACGATGCCTTAGGTTATCTCTCTCGCACCCGCGCTGGCAGTTGCCGTCTGAGGCATGCCCTGCGCTCTGCAGTCTCGAACTGGTCCAGATACTCTGGGTGAGAAAACTAAGCAGGGTGGACCTGGCTCTCTTCGGCAGAGACGTCCCAGCCAACATTCTTTTGACAATAGATGCACCAAGGGTCCCCCGGGGAAAACCACGTTTCTTGGCGGCAAAATGGAGGGCTGCCTGCTCCCAGGCCTCCTGCATTTGTTGAACCATCATTTCAGGAGTGCAGGTTGTAAGTGGATATCGACATCCGCTAGCACCCTGCACCTCCAAAACCGAAACAACGCACCATCCGATTCGTCGGATCGACAAAACGGCGGCCCCAAATGGAGCTTCGCTCGGCGGCCCACTTGGAGGGATGGGGCACTCAATATAGGTTCGGCCAGGCTCTTCAGTTCAAGTAACTCTCGGGGGTGGCTGGGTCTCGTCGCAGCTCTCCAGGTCATAGTCGCCCATGTCCGTGCAGGTCCTAGTCCTGCTCTCCAGGTGGGGTCCCCTAGTGCAGCCAGACTACGGGGTCTACTTCTCGTTGCACATCGGGGCCCAGCAACTCTTAAGTATTCGGACTGCAAGTTTCGGAGCTCCTGGGGGTCCGTGCCAAACGCTTCGGTGCCGTGCGTGAGGGCATGCTGAAGCCCAATATTTTAAAACTTCCTGGCGTCCCCTCTCGCGGTTTTGACAGCTCGGATTCGGTGTCGTCGCTTTTTGTCTTTGACAAATCGTTTGTGCAGGGTCGCCTTGGCGACTCGTCGCAGTGCTCGCAGCCTCGAGGCTCCCGCGGCGCTGTCTATCCCAAGAATGGTGGCACTGTGGGGGC